TGTTCAAGAAAAAATTGAAACCCCTATAAAGAGATCTCAATGTTGCTTGCCTGCACTGTTGGCCTTTCATAGTTTTTAGTGCTGCAATTAATGTATGGTTCGGGTTCGGTTTGGATATGGTTGGGAAATTGTTTGCCGAACTTCAGTTTGGTTCGGGTTCAGACATGTACACACATGTACGTTCCTGTACAATGCACATTGAGACATCGAAGCACTCGCTACAAACTTGCCATATATAGTACTTCCATGTATAAAATACATTAATACAACCAGTGAATCTCCTCTTCATCCCAATCCATGAGTAACTTTGATTTGCGCAGAAATTTTTAAAAAACTGTTTCCCCAAAGTTTGTTTAGGAGTAAAAAGTCATTAGAAAGGAGGCGTAGCAGTTTCAAACTATGTTTTGCCGACCAAAAGTGGTTGTGTTTTGACCACACTTGACTCAACAGAGCAATCATGTAGGATATGTGAAAACAGAAAGAAACAGCATGGTCAAATGGGAGTGTCCTCCTTTACAGGATACAATGAGCGAATCGTGTTTTGGTTATTTTTCACGAAACCTTGCCAGTGAATGTGGCCACACCCTTCACCTGGTGTGTTGTCAGCATTCTTGACTGTTGACTTGGTCTCTGGTAGCCATCATCATTCTTCATCGGGATGGGGTCAAAATGGGCGAGATGGAGTGGGAGGCAGCTACTGGCTGGGGGGCTGCCATGAAATGCTGGGGCTGGTAGTCAGTCTTTCCCTTCACTGCAGGTGATTGATGGAGAAGCGGACCCTCTCCGTAGGGGTACGGTGTTAGTTGTGGAGGGGTGCTTGGTGCCATAGACATGGGCACTGACATCTTCGGTGTTTCGGCCATTGATAATGCAAAGCTTCCCAACCTAAAATACTGTGCTGGCTTACCCTAGGGGAAAAAACAACTGCCTCTTCACACTAAAACACCTGGCTAAGTTCCAATGGAAAATGCTCCCTACCCGGATTCTCCAACAAAAGAAAGGAAACAAATGTAGCACGGAAAAATGGCACCCTAAACTAAGTCTGAATAAACAAAAAACAAACCAGAATTTGGGGAACTCGCTGAAAAAACTTCAAATTTGATCGGGTAGGGAGGAGTTGTAAGGAAAATTAGGTGGAGGCAAACGACTGCAAATTTTAGATAGAAATAGAAAAAATAGAAAGGAGGAAACAAAAAAAAAATAAAATTCCAAAATTTATTGCTCAGGGGCAATGCTCTACAGAATCCAAACAACGATATAAAAAAGGAATTGTTTAACCACAAACTCAATCAAACTGGTGATCTAAAAAAATTGCAGAACCAGTGTGATGTCCGGGCAGAATGGGACTAGATTAACTTTGATCTTCAAAAAAAAATGCACTTAATGAAACTACGTCAAACAAAAAAATTAGATGCCAATGAAACTTTGCTGGTCAAAAGAAATAGGAGCATGGATTCAACAAAATTTAAAGTCAAGCAAATACAAGCAAAAAAATGAATGAATTTCAACAAAAAAAACGAAAACCTAACCACAAGCAAAACTAAAAAAAAACGAAAGCCAACACAGCATATAAGAGGGTTGCAAAACAGTAAACACAACAGCTTTGGCAACCGAATAAAGTGCTAGTGGCAGGCTAAGCAAGGGGCAGAGAACTCATAAAAATGTGGTGTGTGTTCTTCACTGCCAGTCTGCAAACTGAGGGGGTCTACAAGGAATGCTGAGCACATGGTGCCAAATCAAAGGGGTCTTTGTTCAAGGGTCTAATTACTGTAAGAATGATGTTACCTTACCAGGGGAGGATCTAGATTAAAAAAGACAATCATTTTCCAGGGGAGGGAACTGAAGTTATTGTACATAAAGAAGGTTACAATCATCCTCCTTACACCCTACTCTTTGAATCTGCTTTCCACTTGTTTTATGGTCCATGCTTCATGGCATAATATGTTCGAACCAGCCTAGAAGATAAATGTCATACTATGTAATCATATTACAGCATCAAAATAGTTAATGAACTGTAATATGTAATTTAAGCTCTTATAGAAACAAACAAAATCAAAACAAAATGCTATTTACACAGTCGGGGCAACTAGTCCAGATGGACCAGTGCCCCTGAAAACTTGTGGTCCAGTAGCCCCGTGTTTTTCATGTAGAATTAGTTAATCACTTGTTCCATATTTTTTCATACATGTAACTTGCATTTTTATTTGAATATACCTCTTACATTACTTTGAAACAAAATATTGACTAAATTGGCTGTAGTTAAATCTTACACTGAAATTTTTGCTTTACATCAACGATATCACAGACAAACTTCAGTCAGAAATTCGTCTTTTTGCTGACGATTGCATTTTATATAGAAATACCCACAACCAGGCTGACTGCATCACATTTCAGGAAGTTATTGATAAACTCCACGAACGGGCTTCTACGTGGCAAATGCAATTTAATATAAAGAAATGCTGCATCATGCT